GCCAGGACACACAAATAAATACACACAAATAAAAAGATTCCCCATATTTTCCCATATTTTCTGGGTTTTCGTCTTCCCCCCCACTTCCCATATTTTCCCATATTTTCCTGGGAGTCGACGATTAATTGTGTCTGTGTGTTTCTTCCCCTCCAGGCTGCTGTCGGGCACGCGCTGGCATGGATTGCGGACCCGTGGATCCAGAGCCACGTCGGGTAGTTCCTCCAAGAGGCGTATTTTTGTGAGGAACCATGAAGGATAGTCAAACACTGTTCAAACATAACCAAAGAATGGTAGAACAATCGTTCCCATGCTTTTTGTCTGACCACTTTCGAATCTTCCTCCTGTCGAGGGACGTGCCCGACTCGAATCCAGCGCGTGGGCGCCAGATCGGGAAGCGTACGCCCCGAAGCACGAGGCCACCGCCGCCTCCGCCCGGCGACGGAGCGCGTCGAGACTCCCGTGTGCAGAGCGGCACCCGTCGCCCCTCCGCGCCCTTCTTGCTCCGTGGCTGCGCCTCCTCGATACCGGACCCCTTCAGTGCGGGAGGTAAAGGGGGGAAGGATCTGCGAGGAACTCTTTCGCGCAAGCGTGAAGAGATGAGGGGGCGACAGATGGGTGAAGGGGGCCCTGGGACACACAAGTAGAGAGGCACAAACCACAGGATCCACCAGGTTTCCAAAAATCTGTTCGGGTTTTTTTTGTCTTCCCCCCCGCTTCCAATCGTTTCCCACACTCTCCTGGGAGTCGACGATGGCTTGTGTCTGCGCGTGTGTTTCTTCCCCTCCTGGATATATGGCGGGGGTTCGGGGTTTTTGTCTTCCCTCCCACTTCCAATCGTTTCCCACACCCTCCTGGGAGTCGACGATGGCTTGTGTCTGCGTGTGTGTGTTTCTTCCCCTCCTGGACAAACGGCGGGGGGAGAGGGGGGGGGGGGAGGGAGGCAGCGGTGCACTGCTCGGGCCCTACAGAGGGGCCCTCTCTTCTGGGCCCTCCAAGGGCCGCGCAGGGAACCCAAAAGGGGCCCCTGCCCTGCAGCCCTGGCCGGCCCCGTAGCACTCGCAGTAGCGGCATTACTCGCAAACGTGTTCTCGATATGTTTCCTCCTCCTCCTCCTCCTCCTCCTCCTCCTCCTCCTCCTCCTCCTCCTCCTCCTCCTCCTCCCCTCCCCTCCCCCTCCTCCTCCTCCTCCTCCCTCCTCCTCCTCCTCCTCCTCCTCCTCCTCCTCCTCCTCCTCCTCCTCCTCCTCCTCCTCCTCCTCCTCCTCCTCCTCCTCTCCTCCTCCTCCTCCTCCTCCTCCTCCTCTTCCTCTTCTCCTCCTCTTCCTCCTCCTCCTCCTCCTCCTCCTCCTCCTCCTCCTCCTCCTCTCTCTCCTCCTCTCTCCTCTCATCTCTCCTCCTCCTCCCCTCCTCCTCCTCCTCTCCTCCTCTCCTCCGCGTCCTCCTCCTCCTCCTCCTCCTCCTCCTCCTCCTCCTCCTCCTCCGCCTCCTCCTCCTCCTCCTCCTCCTCCTCTCCTCCTCCTCCTCCTCTCCTCCTCCTCCTCCTCCTCCTCCTCCTCCTCCTCCTCCTCTCCTCCTCCTCCTCCTCCTCCTCCTCCTCCTCCTCCTCCTCCTCCTCCTCCTCCTCTCCTCCTCCTCCTCCTCCTCCTCCTCCTCCTCCTCCTCCTCCTCCTCCTCCTCCTCCTCCTCCTCCTCCTCCTCCTCCTCCTCCTCCTCCTCCCTCCTCCCCCTCCTCCCCCTCCTCCCCCTCCTCCCCCTCCTCTTCTTCTTCTTCTCCTTCTTCGCATCACCAATACTGGTCTCGCCAATCGTGGTATTCATGCACGTTCGCCGTCCCCCGAATGCTGTGCGTACGGTTCTTCTCCAATTGCTAGTAGTGGTATGGTGCTCCTTCTTGTTGCTCTTCATGTCCACCACCTGGGAGCTGGACTGTCCCAGGGCGGCGGGGGGCGGTGGCCACCGATGCCGTTGGGCCCCCACGGGAGAGGGGAGGGCGGGAGGAGATGGGGACGGGTGGCGGGATCGGGCGGGACGAGGAAGAGGCGAGGACTGGGAGAAGGACAGGGGCCACATCGGGAGGGAGATGGCCGAAAAGGGGGGCGAAAAGCAGGGCAAGACCAGATCGGGCAACGGCTGTCGCCTGTCATGGCGGCTCGCCGCTGCTGGGTGAGAGCGCCGTAGCCACGACGATGTGCTGCCGATGACTTCGGCGCACACCTCGGGCATGCCCGGGAGGAGCGGGCGCGGGGAGGCGGGCGGGCCCCGAGGCCTGACGCTGCGAAGCCTTGCGCGGCGAAGTATCACGACCCGAATCCTGATTTCAGACCCCCTCTTCCCGCGCCAGTGTAAAGGGGCCCCAGAACACACAATTAAATGCACACAAATAAAAATATGCCCCATATTTTCCTATATTTTCTGAAATTTTGTCTTCCCCTCCCACTTCCCATATTTTCGCATATTCTCCTGGGGGTCGACGATTAATTGTGTCTGTGTTTTTTTTTTCCCTCCTGACAGTGGTCGAGCCAGATCGACCTGTGATGTGGCCCGGGGGCCCGAGAAGCAGGGCGACGACGCCCGTGGTGAACAAGAAGCACTGCCCCCTCTCGGATCTGGCGGGGGGGGGGGGGGGGAGACTGGCAGAGGGCCCGGACGGGGAGCAGCGAGGGGCGAGGACTGCGAGCCCAGACCCCCGCGAGGTCGCGACGTTTTTCCCCTGCGACGTCGACCCCCAGGAGGTCTGGGCCCCGTCCCGCGGACCATGTCTTCCTCCCGAGCCCTTTCCTGGTGGTCCCGAGGCCCAGCAAGGGCTCCCGGAGGCCGAGAAGAGCGAATTACGACACCGAGGAACCCCACATACTGATATTACGGCTTGAGTGATGACAGCTGGAGTGAAGCATGTGAGAAGGATGTTGGTGGCCGTTGCCACGCCGATACCGTTGGTGACGCCAGTCAGGAGGAGTGGAGGGAGGAGAGTGGACATGATAACGGCCGCGCGCAAAGACCACACCCTGCGCACCCCCTATGGTGTCGAGAAAATGCCACGCCTGCTACGCCCTGGGCCACCGGCTCGGATAGCGGCCGCGCTCAGAGACCACCACCTGCAACCCCCCTGTGGTTCTCCCCTGCCAACCCCTCTGGTGTCGAGAAAGTGCCACGCCTGCTAGGCCCTGCGACATTGGCGACAATAGAGACCGCGGTGAGGGCCGCACCCCCTGTGGAGCGGAGAACATACCACGCCTGCTACGCCCTGCGACATTGCCGCGTATAGAGACCGCGCTGAGGGACCACCCCTTGCACATCCCCTCCGGTGTCGGGAAAGTGCCACGCCTGCTAGGCCCTGCGACATTGGCGCGTATAGACACGGAGTGAGGGACCACCCCCTGCGCACACCCTCTGGTGTCGAGAAATCGCCAGCCCTGCTATGCCCTGCGACATTGGCGCGTATAGAGACCGCGCTGAGGGACCACCCCCTGCGCACACCCTCTGGTGTCGAGAAATTGCCACGCCTGCTAGCCCCTGCGACATTGGCGCGTATGGAAAGCGCGGTGAGGGACCACCACCTGCGCACCGCCTCTGGTGTCGAGAAATTGCCACGCCTGCTTGGCCCTGCGACACTGTCGCGTATGAAGACCGCGCTGAGGGACCAGCCCCTGCGCACACCCTCTGGTGTCGAAAAAAAGCAACACCTGCTAGGCCCTGCGACATTGCCGCGCATAGACACCGGGGTGAGGCACCACCCCTTGCGCATCCCCTCGGGTGTCGGGAAAGTGCCACGCCTGCTAGGCCCTGCAACATTGGCGCGTATAGAGACCGCGCTGAGGGACCACCCCTTGCGCACCTCCTCCGGTGTGGGGAAAGTGCCACGCCTGCTAGGCCCTGCGACATTGGCGCGTATAGAGACGGCGTTGGGGGACTACCCCCTGCGCACACCCTCTGGTGGCGAGATAGTGCCGCGCCCTCTAGGCCCTGCAACAATGGCGTGTATATAGAGACCGCGGTGAGGGACCACCCCCTGCGCACCGCCTCCGGTGTGGAGAAAGTGCCACGCCTGCTAGGCCCTGCAACATTGACGCGTATAGAGACCGCGCTGAGGGACCACCCCCTGCGAAACCCCTCTATTGACGAGATAGTGCCACGTCTGCCGTGCCCTGCGCATCCTACACGTGTTTTGTGTATGGCGTGTCATATGTGTATGTTGCGTGTGTGGCCGTATCTGGACGTGTCTCGTGTGGGTGCCCAGTATGTGGTGCATGCGTCTTGGGTGTATGATGCAGTGAACACGCCAGGCGTGCACTAGCGTTGTATGGTGTATGTTGTGTGTGCGCGAGTGTGTGCATGCGTGCGGCTGCATGTAGACGCGTGTCTGATGCACGTGCCGTGCATGGGTTGCGTGTGGGTGAAGGGAGGAAGTGAAGCAGGGGAGGAGGGAGGAGGAAGGGGAGGTGTGTGTGTGTGTGTGTGCGGAAGACGCGGGTGCGACGCGGCAGGGATGAAAACCATATCCCCACGAAATATGTGGGGAACAACACGTACTGGGTGCCAGGCTGGATCTGGACGTGTGCCTCATATTGGTGCCCAGTCTGTTGCGCATGCGTCTTGGGTGTATAATGCAGTGCAGACGCCAGGCGTGCACTGGCGTTGTATAGTGTGTGTGTGTGTGTGTATGCGAGTGTGTGCGTGCGAGGGCTGTATGTGCACGCGCGTCTCGTGTGCATGCCGTGCATGTGCTGCGCGCGGGCGAGGGAGGCAGGAGGAGGAGGGGAGGCGCGTGCGACGCGGGCACGACGCGGCAAGGCAAGGAAACCCGATCCCCCCACGAAACGTGTGGGGAAAGACCTCCCGTCGTGACGTCCTCACGTCGCGAGGGGGCCTGGGGAGCCGCGGGGCGGGCGCCGCCCCTCCAGAGGCCGCCGCCGCCGCGCCCCCCCGGCGCGCCCTGCGCTCCGCCGCGAAGGGCGCGGCGGGGCTGCCCCGCAGGCTGGCGGCCCGCCGGCGGCCGCCAACTCAGCTCAGCTCCTGCGGGCTCACGGCGGCGCGGCCGGAGAGCGGCTCCAGCCTCGGGCGCGAGCGCGTCGGCGAGCGCGCGGGGGACCTCCCGGCCGCGCGCAGGAGCTGCCCCAAGGGGGCCAGGGGGGCGCCCTCTGGTGAGCGGCTTTGCCGGGCCGCCGCGTGCGGCGCGGCGGGGGGCGACCCCTGCGTGTGGGTGCTTGGGCTTGGCCCCGCAGCGCCCCCCCCCCCCCCCCTCCCTGAGAGCCGCGCGCCACAGATGTCACTCCCGCGGCCCTGGCCCTCCGGCGTCGTGATTTTCTCACAGCGCCGGCTCCCAGAGGTCTGGACCCCTTCCCCGGGACTGGTTTCTCATCCTGAATCGATTTTGAACGGTCCCGAGGCCCAGGAAGGGGCCCCGGAGGCTGAGGAAACTGAAAAACCTCCCGCCACGATTTTTTCACAGCGCTACCCCCCCGAAAGCCGCGCACCAAAGGTCGCTCTGGTCAAGGGTCACACTCTTGTGCGCAGCCGAGCCTCCGGGATGGGGAGCGGGAGGGCGAGCCCGGGCGGGAGCGCGCGGGGGAGCGGGACGCCTCCTGGCTGCCATCCTCGCAGCTGCCGTCGCTGCCCGCGTGGCCGTCGCCGCCGAGCTGGGTGGCCATGGCTGCCGTCGCCTCCCGGGCCACGAAGTTCCGCTTGCTGGCCCGCTGCCGCAGGAGCTTGGTCTGGATCTTCTGTGCGGCCCTGTCCTTGCTCTTGTTCACGTTCCAGGTTCGGGCCCTCTCCTGCAGGCCCTCCACCTCCACCCACGTCTCCTCGAAGTCATAGCTGTAGCCCCCGGCCCGCAGCAGCCCGTACGTCTCGTCGCTGATGTGGACGCGGCCGGGCTGCCCCGTCGACTCCATCTGGCTGGCGTACCCCACGGCGGCACCGAAGAGATGGTAACGCGGGCCCTTTTTGCCCACCACCCCGGCCACCACCGAGCCAGTGTGCAGCCCAACCTAGGGAGCCCACAAAGGACGTACGCGCCCAGCTATGTACATGAACACGGCCCCTCGATCCGCGAGACCGGCCGCGTGATACGAACATTTGCGCAATGCGAACTCTCGAAACCAGCATGGATTCATGTACGTGTACGTCCTTCTTTCGCTCCTGACAACCCGCATCTCGAGCTGGGTGCCGTCGCTGCCCCAGGGCAGCGTGGGCAGGGTCCGCAGCATGGCCAGGCCCACCTCCACGGCCCGCATGGCGCACTCCTCGGGCCCCACGCGGTCCTCGGGGTTCTCGGGAGGCGGGCACCCCGCCGTCACAAAGTAGGCGTCGCCTATGATCTCCACCTGATCGACGAAAAGGTGGTGTCCAATACGCGTGGCCAAGACCCCCTCGCGTTGTGAAAAAAAAAGCACGACGGAAAGTTTTCGCCATTCTCGGTCTCTGGGGGCCCTTCCCGGGCCTCGGGACCGTCAAAGAATGACTCTGGGTAAAAAACCGGCCCCGGTGAAGGGGCCCAGACCTCTGGGGGTCGACGTTGCGACAGAAATCACGACGTCGGGGGTCTCGGGGCCACTGTCGGGAACTTCTGCTTCGCGTGCCGCGGCGGCTCCCCGGTCGACACGCCGTGCACCGCGAGCGGCCAGCGTGTCGCTCCGCTCCGCGGGGCGGGAGCCTGGGAGGCGCTCGGGCCGTTGACGCTCGGGAGCGGGGGCACGACGGCGAGTCGCGCCAGAGCGCGGTGGGCCAGGAGCGGCGTCGCGACACGCTAAGCAAGGGCTCCCAGCTTCGCGCTTCGCGCTGCGCGAAGTGCGAATAACTTCGCGCTCTCGCGCCGCCTCCCAGGGGAGAAGAGGAGGAAGAGGAGGAATCGAAGCCGAACCGCGAAGCGCGAATAACTTCGCGCCCTCGAGGGCGCCCTTGGCTAAGCCAGAGCTCCCGATCTATCCTGCGCGATGGCTTGCGCAAGGCGCCGATGCGGCGCAGCGCGCGGGGGTAGGAGAGGCGCGCGGGCAACCTGCGCGCTGATGCCCGCGCAGAGTCGACCTCTCTGCTTCCCTGCGCCGCCCACCTTGTAGAGCTCCCAGCTCACGATGATCTCGTCGAACGCGGAGTACATAGAGTTCAGCAGGTCAACGAGCTCCTGCTGATCAGCCATAAATGGACCCCTAACCCTTTGGGAGGCGACCGAAGTTAGGAGGGCCAGTAACATTAGGGGCAGGGGGCGTTTTCTGCAGATGTATCGAACCAAACCGCCGAGATCTATTACCCCTAATGGAAAGACGGGGACCTCGATGAGGCCACGTCTTCTCTGTGTTATTGAGGTTAGGGGTTCTTTTGTCCTCCATGACCTGCGGTGTCAGGTTCGCGGCGTAGGCGGTGAAGCCCTTGATGTCGGTGAACAGCATGGTGGCCTGCTCGCAGGGCTCCGCGATCGGCGACACGCCCTCCAGGACCTTCTGCGCCACGGAGGAGGTGGAGGAGGAGGAGGAGGAGGAGGAGGAGGAGGAGGAGGAGGAGGATCGGCGGCGAGCGAGGGGGGGAAATGAGAAGGAGAAGGCCTTCTCAGAAGGCGGCGGGACTTTTCAGAAATCCTCGCGCCTTCTGAGCAGATTTGTTTGTCTTCGGGGAAGGCTTAGAAAACTTCTCAGAAGGCCGGGGGACTTCCGAACCCTCTGAGAAGGCCTCTTCCTTTTCACTTCCTCCCCTCGCTCGCCGCCGAGCGGACGAGGAGGAGGAGGAGGAGGTGGAGGAGGAGGAGGGGAGGAGACAGGAGGGATGGGGGAGGAAGGAAGGAGGAATAAGGAGGGTGAGAGAAGGTGGGTGGGTAGGAAATGCGATCACCTGTCGTTTCGGTAACACTAGGACGTGGGGGGTGGGTGGGAGGTGAGAGGAAGGGGCGGAGGGAGGAACAATCAGGATGGAGTAAGATAAGCGGGGGGAGATGGAGAGCCGAGGGAAGAAATGGGGGAGGGATAGAGAAACAAGGATGAGGAAGACGGATTTGGAGGGCGGATGAGAAGGAAAAGGAGAGGAGGGGGCAGGAGGAAGTGGACAAGGGAGGAGGCGGAGAGGGAGGAGGAGAGGATGATGATGATGAGATGATGATGATGATGATGATGATGATGATGATGATGATGATGATGAGATGATGATGATGATGATGATGATGATGATGATGATGATGAGATGATGATGATGAGGATGAGGATGATGATGATGAGGAGGAGGAGGAGGAGGAGAGGAGGAGGAGGAGGAGGAGGAGGAGGAGGAGGAGGATAGGGACCCTCCCGTTCCCCATCCTCACCCCCCCTGCCCTTCCCTCCTCTTCCTCCCTCCACCTTCCTCTCTCTACCTTCTGCTCCTCCTCCCTCCTCCCTCCTCCCTTTTTCTTGTCCTTTCTTCTCCCCCTCCCGCCTCCTCGTGAGCCTCCTCCTGCCCTCATCTTCCCTCCTCGCCCTCGTACCTCCTTTCTCATCCCTCTCCTCCTCCTCTCCTCCCTCCCTCGTCCCCCTGGCCGACTGCGTTCGCCATCCCTGCCAACTACGTGCGCCGCCCCTCGCCAGAGAGTGAGGATGGCCCAGCCGGCGCCTGTCCCCAGCGGGCCAGGACAGACACCTGCCCGAGTCGGTGCCGCTCTCTCTTCCCTCCCTCGCCGCCGTCAGGGCGAATGCCGTCTGCGTCCAGGCTGCTGCGCCACCCCTCCCCTCTCCGAGCATGCACGCCGCGCCTCTCGCGCGCCGTGCGCGAGCGAGCGATCAGGCGAGCGGGCCGGCGAGCGCGCGGGGCGGGGGGGAGGTGCAGCGAGCCAGCGGTCGGCGTCTCGCTCGTCCCCTCGCCCGGTCGCTCGGTTTTGCTCGGTCGCTCGAGCGAGCGAGCGAGCGGGGCGAGCGCGGGCGGGGGGGTGCCGAGCGAGCGAGCGAGCGAGCTGTCAGCCTCTCGCTCGGTCACTCGGTCGCTCGCCCGAGCTGGCGAGGCGAGCGCCAGAGGAGTTGATGCCCAAGCTGAAGTCGGGCGCGTCCCTCCACAGGAGGAATCTGTCCGAGTAGTCAAGCATAGCCTGGGGACTTCTTGTGACAAGTAACTGTGTTTGAACATTGTTTGAATATGCTGTGGGGGTATGTTGGATTCGTCCAGCATCCGCCTGTATGGGGGACATGCCCGAGCTAAACCCAAGCGTCTCCAGAGCGGCTTAGGTAACGGTTGCCTCTTTGGACGCCCCGGAGCAGATTAGGCAGCAGATTTCTCCTTGCAGCGCTCGCGAGTGAGAGAGAGAGAGAGACTTGATACCTAATCTGCTTCAGAGCGCCGACGGAGGAAATTGATGCTTGAGCCCCAAAGCGCTCTGGAGCGGATTGGATAACACGTCTGTCCTTGGAGCGCTCCGAGGAAAGATGTGATACCCAATCTGCTCGGCAGCGCCCATGGAGGGAGTTGTTGAACCGCCCCCTGCGCTCACTCGCCGCCTGAGCGAGCGAGTCGGGCGGGTCGGGCGGGACCTTGAATGCATGGTGCAGGTAACAACTATCTCCTTGGGTTCGCTCGCTCGCTCCAGCGAGCGAACCAGGCGGCACATTGCATAGACTGTGCGGGTGGCAACTCTTAACTTGGGATTGCTCGCTAGCGAGCGAGCCCAAGGAGATCCTAATCCACTCGGGAGCGCTCCGAGGAGGAATCGGTTACCTATTCTGCTCGGGAGCGCCCGAGGAGGGACCTGTCACACAAGCTGCCCCCTTCGCTCGCTGGCTCGAGCGAGGGAGCGAGCACGGGAGAGACGTGTCACCTCATCTGGTCGGGACCACCCACATAATCATTTGGTGCCTGCCTGAGCGGCTTCCGAGCGGCTGAGGGGACTGAATCCCTCCTTGGCCGCTCCGAGCGGAGTAAGTAACAGATCTCTACAGATCCCCGTGCAGCGCTCTGGGCAAGGATTTGGCACCCAATCTGCTAGCGGCCGCCCAGGCAAAGACTTTTACCCGAACTGCGAATCTGCTCCAGGGCGCCCAAGGAAGGATTTGATACCTAAACCACCCCGTTCGCTCGCTCGCTCGCTGGAGCCAGCGACCGACCCAGCGAGCTGGGGGGGAGAGGAGGGGACCCTCTCTGACGCTGGCTAGCTCGCTCCCGAGCGAGCGCGGGGGGAGAGGCGGAGGATGGGACCCTGTCACTCGCTCGCTCCCGAGCGAGCGAGCGATCGGGGGGGGGGGAGAGGAGGGGGACCCTTTCGCTCGATCCCGAGCGAGCGGTCAAGCGGTCGAGCAAGGGGGGAAGGAGGGGCCCCTCTCTCGCTCACTCTCTCGAGCGACCCCGTCGGTCGCTCGCATCAAAGCGAGCCAGCGGGAAGCGAGAGGACGGGACCCTCTCGCTCGCTTGGTCGAGCGAGCGAGCGAGCGACCGAGCGGTGGGGGCGGGAAGGAGGGAGGAACCCTCTCGCTCGTTCGCTCGAGCGAGCGGGTGGTTTGGGGTGCCACAGTCCCCCCCCCTCCAAAGGAAGGGAGGAGGAGGGGACGAGGAGTAGGAGGAGGAGGAGGAGGAGGAGGAGGAGGAGGAGGAGGAGGAGGAGGAGGAGGAGGAGGAGGACGAGGAGATGGTGGAAGATTTGGAGGAGGAGAGAAGGGAGGATGAGGGAGGAGGACATGTGATGAGGAGAAGACAAAAAAGAGGAGAAGGAGGATGAGGAGGACGAGGACGAGGGAGGAGGATGAAGGAGGGAGGACTCCTCTTTCCCCTCTCCCCTGGCACCTTCTGCACCCAGGGCCGCCTCTCTCTCATTCTATCATTCTCTTCCTCGCTCACATTTAGTTTCTCGTCGCGGACGTTTTTTTATGACGGTCGTCGGGGCACCAAACGGGCATCAAGAAAACACGTTTGCTTGTTGATTTCCGCCATAAGTAAATCTGAACCTCCAGAGGGTCCTCAGAGGTCCCCTGGAGGTCTCTGGACGTCCCCTGGGGCCTCCAGAGGCTTTAAACAAAGACAATTCGAGCGAGAGAGAGAGAGAGAGAGACAGACATATACATATATATATATATATATATATATATATATAGAGAGAGAGAGAGAGAGAGAGAGAGAGAGAGAGAGTGAGAGCGAGAGCCCGAAGCGCGAAACTCGAACCTCCACCCTCTCCGCCTCTCCACCTTCTCCGCCTCCTCATCCTCCTCCTCGAACCGCGATCCTCCTCCTCGAGCATCGATCCTCGATCCTCCACGTCCTCGATTCTGTGTCCTCGATCCTCCTCTTCCTCTTCTTGCCCTCCCCCACCTTGCTCCTATTCTTCCACTTACGCCTCCTCGATCCCCGATACGATTTCTTTCGTACGGGGTTCCCCGCAATTCCGACCCTTTGCCTGGGGCAAGCCTTTCATCCGCAGGAGTTTTTTGACGACACTGGGGCCTGGCGAGGGCCTCCTGACGCCGAACACGGCGAAGAAACTCCTCGATCCTCGATCCTCCTCCTCCTTCTCTTCCTCCTCCTCCTCCTCCTCAGCCCTCGATTCACGATTCTCGATCCCCTTCGATCCCCCTCCCCCTCCTCCTCAGCTCCTCCTCCTCGATCTCCCCCCTCCTCCATCCTCGATTCCCCTCGATGCCCCCCCTCCGATCCCCCTCCTCGATCCTCGATTCCCCTCGATCCTCCCCCGTCCGATCCCCCTCCTCGATCTCCCCTCCTCGATCCTCGATCGCCCTCCCGCCCCACGCGTGGCGCGGCGCCTTGTGCGCCACGTGCTCGGGGAGCAAGCTCGCCAGGAGCTGCGAGCTCGCCGACCGGGCCTGGGCGACGGCGACCTTTGACGAGCCTCGACGACTGCCTTCGACGACGGCCTTCGACGACGACGACTGCCTTCGACGACGGCCTTCGACGACGACGACGCCGACGACGACGACTATAACGAAGACGACGACGACAACGACGACGACCTCGTCAAGGTCCGCTCGGGCGGAGAGAGCTGTCCAGACGTGCTCCCGTCGTGACACCATCGGACCAGGATCGCCTGTTCTCGTCGGTTGTCGGGCGTTCTTGTGGATTCCCGGCGGTTTTCCAGACCCAGGATGCTCTCCAGCAGCTGCCCCTCGCCGAAGGCATTCCAGGGGTGCCCAGATCGTCCCGAGCGGCCGCCAGGGTTCCGGGTTATGACCCGAAAGCTCAGACATGTTCGGGCCGTGACAAAATCGCGGCGGAAAGTTTTTGGTGGTTTTCGGCATCCAAGGGCCCTCGCCGGGCCCAGGACCATCAACAACAACGACCCGCGATGGAAAACCGGCCCCGGGGAAAGGGTCGGGTCGCATGGGGCCCACGTGCTGAAAAGGTCGAGACATCGCGAGGAGGAGGAGGAGGAGGAGGAGGAGGAGGAAGGGATGGGATGGGATGGGATGGGATGGGATGGGATGGGATGGGATGGGATGGGATGGGATGGAGGAGGAGGAGGCTGGCCGTGCACGTGCACCGAGGTTTTGAACGTTTCTGGGCCCCTCGTCGCCGCGGCTGGGCGCGGCCCAGAGAGCCGGGCGGGAAGGGTCCCGGAAGAGGCCCAGGGCCGATTTTCAAGCAGGCCTTGTTTCCACAGCGCAGCGAAGATTACGAACTCCAGCCAGCAGGCACTGCAAACCACGACAGCAGGGCTGCGTCGCAGCGCGAGGTGAAGGGGCGACAGACGGTCGTCGAACAGCACGCGCCCGCATGCAATATTCTCCAGACGAGCTTCGAGACAAAAGGGCAAGACTGGCAACTCGAGAGGAGCTGCATGAAGAAGGGCGGCAATCGAACGCGACAGGCTGGTCGAAAGTCGACGCCGACGACGGCCATCGGGGAGCTACGGTGGCGTTGGCAGCTGGCGGCGGCCTTCGGCAGTCTTTGACGGCCATCGGCGGCGGCGACGACGAGCACGCGGAGGACGACGATGACGAGGACGGCGAGACGACGACGACAAAGATCGTAGAAGGAGAGCAAGAACGAAGAAGAGGATGCGGACTATAGGGTAGGAGCCAGGAGAAGGAGGATGAGGAGGAAGGTTGCAGATGGATGAGGGTAGGTCGAAGGACCTAGGCGGAGAAGAAGGATGACGGATACAAAGAGGAGCTGGAGCGCAGGGCGGAAGCGGATGAGGAAGATGAGGACGAGGAGGGGAAGTGGACATGTGGTGAGCAGGAAGGGGAATATTAGGATGGAGGTGGAAGGGAATGGTGAGGAACATACTTGCATACATGAAAGTCTGATCAGGAATTCAAGCAGGGATACATACATACATACATACATACATACATACATACATACATACATACATACATACATACATACATACATACATACATACATCCATCCATCCATCCATCCATGCATGCATGCATGCATGCATGCATGCATACAAGCATACAAACATACAAACATACAAACATACAAACACACATACATACATACATACATCAATCCATCCATCCATCCATCCATCCATCTATACATACATACATACATACATGCATACATACACATAGCGAGAGAGAGAGAGAGAGACAGAGAGAGAGAGAGAGCAGGAGGGAGGAGGAGCGATGAGGATGAGAATGCTTGGGATGCGAGAGGAGGGGGAAGAAGATGACGGCGACGACGACAAGAAGGAAGACACGAAATGTGTGGAGGAGGACGGGGGAAGGATAAAGATGAGGGTGTGGAGAAACATGGTAGGGGAGTGGCAGAGGGGGAGGGGAAGGAGGACGAGGGGACGGGGGGACCACGGGGACGACAGCGGCGCGGCGAAGAAATAACGCTGGGAGTCTGGTTGTAGGAAGGCAGGGGGCATGACGGGACCCCACGTAGAGGGGATAACTGAAAGTGTCGTCAAGCTGTGAGCTGGCCTGCGCAACGGCGCTCTAACACCTCTGACCGCCGCGATGGAAAGAGACATCATGATGACCTGTAGCGATATTGTGGAAGGTGAGGGGCCGGGATGACGATGACGATGTGTACGAACTGGACGAGGAGGGCGATGTCGAGGTGGGATGGCGACGGCGTGGAGGAATATAATGTTGCCGCAAAGATGCGAGGAGGATGAGTTGGATGACGACGGTGAGGGGGAGGACGATGAGGAGGAGGCGAATGATGCATGACCATGGGTATGGAGGGCGAAGAAAAGGACGAGGATGAGGATGATGATGATGATGATGATGAGGAGGAGGAGGAGGAGGAGGAGGAGGATGCGGAGGACAAGACGGATGATGGGGGAGGGTGAGGAATGGCGGGGCGCAAAGTTGGGAGAATGGGGAGGTGGTTGGGAGAAAGAGATGAAGATGGCAAGGCGGTCCCATTCCGCTCCTCCTCCACCCCTCCTCGCGTCCCTCCTTCTGCCTCCTCCTGCGCGTCCTCCCCTCCCTCCTCTCCCCCCCATCACACCCTCCCGCCGCCCGGCACAGGCGGTCAGTTTGGCTCGTGGCGTGGCCTGGTCCATCATCTCCAGCTGCTTGTCCATGAAGCAGTGGTCGTAGTTGGCCACGTGCCCCAGGAACTCCTCCGGGGGCAGAGGGGGGAGGGAGGGCGGGAGGGGGGGGGCCCGAGGAGTGAGGGCGGGAGGCCGGGAGGGAGGCAGGATCGGGGAGCAGAGGACTCCTCCTCCTCCTCCTCTTCTTCCTCCTCCTCCTCCTCCTCCTCGTCCTCCTCGTCCTCCTCGTCCTCCTCCTCGTCCTCCTCGTCCTCCTCGTCCTCGTCCTCCTCGTCCTCGTCCTCGTCCTCCTCCTCCTCCTCCTCCTCCTCCTCCTCCTCCTCCTCCCGCTCCTCCTCATCCTCCTGCTCCTCCTCCTCCTCCTCCTCGCGCACTTGCGGCCCAGCGGCGGTCTTGTCTGCCGTAGCCGAACGCGCGCGCCCGCCCGCGGGCCAGCAGGCCGCGGGCCGAACGCGCGCAACCAGACCTAGCAGCAGGGAACAGCCTCAGGGCCCGAGAACCCCTGCCAGGAAAGGAGAGAGACCATATAAAAGGGATAAAAGGAGAAGGGGGGCAGGATCCGAGGGCCCGCCGCAGGACGAGGACCCGAGGCTTACTAGGTCCCCTAGCCCCCCCGACCACCACCTCCATAGTAGAAGTCGGTCTCCTTCGCGCAATGCGACGCGGAGGTGATGGTGGGTGGGCCAAATTCTAATGCACGCGTGAGGGCCCCTTTTCCCAGGCAAGAGAGAGCCGAGGTGGCAGCTCCGAGGCATGCAAGAGGAAGGAAACGGGGGGGGGGGGGGGGGCAAACGCTCAGGGATGAGGCGACCGAGCTCCCAAGATTCCCAAGGGGAGAACGAGGAAGGGGGCCTCCTGGGCCAAAGAGGGGGGGACTTTGGGTCTCGGGGTAGCTCGGCTCCTTCAGCGCGGCCCCCGCGGGGCCAGGTGTTAGTTGTAGTGGTCGGCCTCGCCCCCCTCGCGGCCGCCAGCACCCCCTGGGGTGTCCTGACGGGCTGGCAAGCTCGCCGCCGAGGGGGCGTCCTCGACCCAATTCTGCTTGGAGCTGTCGGCGCGGTCGGGCGTCTGCCCGTTGTTGCCGTGGGGCTCCCTCGCGAGCCCCTCGCATGGGCATGGGCCCAGGCCGAGGTGGCCTGCGGTTCCACTCATGGTCGCTGTTGTCCTTCTTTTTGGGCCGGCTCTGTCCCCCGCCCTTCGGCGCCAGCGGCGCTGCGGGGGTCAAAGGGGGGCTGTCGCCACCCTTCGGCGCGATGCGCTGTGGTGACAAGCCGCGGAGGCCCTTCTCTTCCACTGGGCACTTCCTCCCCGCCGTCGCGTTGTGGTTGCTGTCGGAGACGTCCTGGCCGTAGCGATGATCGCTGTAGCTGTCGCGGTGCTTCTTGTAGTGGCCGTAGTTGCCGCCCTGCTGCGACCTGCGCTGTCTGGCTCCAGCGGCAAAGCGCGGGGGCGCCCGCTCGAGGGTGGTGCCCTCTGGGAGTCTCGGCTCCTGAGCAGCGCATGCCTCGAGCGGGGTGGATGGGTCGTCGGTGACCTCTTCCTCGCGGACGCTTCCCTCCACGGGCGGCAAAACTTGGCGACGTCTGCCTGAAGCGACCCTTGCCTCAGGCGTTGTGTCAAGTGCTGCGGGGCTAGTTCTCTCACGGACGCTACCTTCCACAGGAGCCAAAACTTGGCGACGCATGCCCGCGGCTTGCCATGCCCCAGGCGTTGCGGCAATTGTGTAGGGGGTCGTTCCCTCACAGACACTGTTGGGTTGGTGCGTGTCGTGTCCGTCGTCGCCTTCGTACCTGCGCCGCGTCGAAGCTCCTGATGTTGTCGGGGATAGTTCTCGATATGGCATCATCCGTTGTGGTGGTCAGCCGCTGGGTCGTTCCAGCTGGAATCCATGCTGTACTTGGCGTGGCCCTCGTCCTGTTATCTGCTGGGGTGTCCATGTGCTCCACTATCTTTATCTGGTTGCGACTCTCACGCGTGTAGCACTGCATGCCGTGGGCCATGCACAAGTACTCGGTGTAGGTTGCGAGCCAATAGAAATCGTTGATCGCCATTACGGTTGGCTTGACTTTTGGTCTAGCGTTTGTCCTCGCTGAGCCGCTTGGATGTCGTCGTTGTTGATGCCGAGGCCGATGATCACAATCGGAATCTGCTCATTCTGGATCGAGTTGTCTATCTGGTGGGACTCCTGGCGGCCCTTGTCGACGTAGCAGCACGTGACCCAGAATGCCTTTGCCCCTTTTCTGCAATGATGTCACTGATGGCATGCTGCCCGTAGGCGATGATGGTTATCGTGCTGCTGGTAATTCTAATATTCGATGCTTTTGCGGTGTCTTGCAGGTCCCCGTTCATTCCTGGGTCGATGTTCGCCATTGGTTGTAGTGGTGGCGTGATCGTGCAGAGGTATGTCTCGTCAGTGACGCAGGGTCCGATGTGGGGCCCCATCATCTGGGTGACTCCCATGCTGGCGTAGTCCTGAGGCAGTCCCAGGTGTTTGTTGCTTCGTCGAATTCGTCGTATTTCGTGCTTGTTAACGTCGTGCTCCTGGTCGGTGGGCCGTCGTCCAGCGTGGAGCCATGAGGACGCACGTGGGTTGGATGCCTCGACGTGTTTGAGCAAGCGGTTGGGAGAAGTCCTTTAGGCAGATTTGGCATGTGGTGCCGGCTACTCTCTGTGCCATGTCATGCTGCGGCTGGTGGCGCTTGTTCACGTGCTTGGCGTCTGCTGCTTTATTGGCAGCGGTGACTCCGCAATGGTAGCACACGTATGCAGGGCGTCCTCCTGTCGTCGGTGATGTCGTCGCTGTTGTAGCCTCAGCAGTAGAAACTTCAGATTGGGCCTTGACGTGGTTAATTGCAGTCTTCAACTTTTGGTGCGCAGCGTCGTCCAGTAATCATGTAGTTGCGCGGCGTGGTGGCCGAATGATCGCGCAATGTGCCTGATCGGCGATGGTTCCGCTTGGGTCGCTCTGATACATGTTGCAACATCGTGGGTCCCCTTGGCTGGGCTCTTGTCGTCGATGCACGGGTGGATAGTGCGGATCTCGTCGTTGATTGTGGTGGCCCAGCTTCCTCCTTGTATGATGTTGTAACCGATTAGTGCCTCAAGCTCTCGTGGGTATTGATGCGCCAATCCCCCTCTTTGTCTGAGTCGGTATGTCCCCATCCGTATCTCCACGGTTGAGGTCTCGAACCTCGCCAAAATCTCGAGGTTCGCGATGGCCTTCGCATTCGTCTCGTTGCGCGTTATGCCGGCTGCCTGCCGCGCAGCTCTGACACGCGCGGTGTTGAGGCGGGTCTTGTCGCCAATCTTGCCGGTGAACCGCGCGCCCGCATTGTAGAATAATTTTGGGAATCCAAAGGCCTCGAGGTAGTGCTTCCCTGCGCTTGTCGTGATGTGTCTTTTGAATAACGTCCACCTCGTGGGTGCTGTGGCTTCTTGTAGGCTTATGGTACCAGCTGCAATTTCCTGGGCAAGGTCGTTCCTGTCGTTGAACATTGCTCCGGGTCGCTTGGTGGTTCTGGTAACGTTCAACTCCATATCCATGTCTGTGAACTTCTTGCCGTTCCGCATTCCCTGGCCTTGCGCTTGCCGCGCGCAGTGTTTGCGAAGATTAGGAAGCTGGACTTCCGAGCGTTAATCGGAAGGCCCCCGGCAAGGGTAGCTCGCGCAAGGTGGTGCCACGTTGTCCCGATCAGGTCCTCTCTTTTGTCGCCGCTGCCCGTGGTGGCTGCAGTTGGCGTCGTCGACGAATGCGGTGCTGGTAATGATTTCTTCGTCATGGTCTTGCAGCGTGGCGGGGTCGGCGCGCGGTATCTCGATCTTGGCGCCAGCTATGCTGGCGCGGTGGTGGTAGTCCCTGACGACTTCAGCCATTCGCGCGTTACTGGTGAAGTCAGCCGTTGGCACTCCAGGCCATTGCATATTCGGCGTCGGCGCGAATGTAGAACCATGTGCCTCGATGTGCTTCCGCGAGCATGGCGTTGATGTGTTCGTTGTCGATGTGCCGTGGTGCAGTCGCACTATTTTCCATTAGCTGTCGCATGGCTGGGATCATCACCTCTGGTATCTCAGTGTTGTCTAGGATGTTATGTATCTCGTCGGCGCTGTGCTGCGCGTTGTAGACCATTGCGTTGATGACCTTGTGGGGGGCAGCCTTCAGGTCGATCGCGCCGATGACTAGGTCCAAGTGTTCCCCCTTGGCCATGTCTGCGAGTAATCGCACCGCGAGGTGGTGAAGTCAGTGCTGTAGTGTGTTCGCCCACCCATCTGCGTGCTCAAGGAGATACTGGGCATTGCGTCTCGTAGGCACTGGCGTAAATATGTATTGATGCTTTATGATCGTGTTGGCCAGTGCGATGCTTCTCTTGTTGTCCAGCTGCTCGTCGCTGCCCTTGCCCTTCCAGAAATATGTCATCCTCGAGCCTCTGTGGGCAATCCCTTCTGCAGTAGAGCGCCGCCTTCGTAATGGTCGGATGCGTGTGTCTTGCAATTTCCCTTGGCGCAATAGTTGCGAGGTCGTCTGTTATGCCATCTGGTCCTGGCGCTCGGAACGGCTTGGCGATGGTGAGAATCGCCATCGGTTCGTAACTGCTGGCGAAATTGACGATGTGTCTTTGCGTGATGTTGTCGGCTATGTCGTCGCTCTGGTTGTATATTGTGTCAATGTCGTATTTGTCCGCATCAATCGAGCTGCTTCATTGCGTCCGAAGGGCTTTGTTGCTGCTCGTGCATTTTCTTGTGCGATTGCCACTGGTGTGCCTTGTTGGCCGACCATCATCGGGTAGGCTCGCATTTTGCGTCGTCGACCCCCCTCCGAACAACAACAACAACTTCTTTGTGTATTCCCACTCGTCGTGGTGCCGGTGGTCATCGCTCGCCTCTGTAGCTTTTGCTGCCTGCATCTCGAGGTGCGCGTCGAAATCGCCGTTGGATAGCTGAGGGGTGGCCTTCGTGGTAGCGGAGGCTCACGACCTGGATGCCTCAGGCAACTTTTCGATCTAGTCGTGTTCGATCGCCAGAGCCACGTTGTAAAGCAAGCTGTAGTTTTCCGTGCAAGTCTCGTGCGGCATGCC